GGACCGAGCAGCGGTGACTGGGGTGAGAGCATTGGCTTTGCCGGACGCCAACGCACCAATGGTCACATGCAGCGTGGTAGTGGTATGTCTACAGCCTCTCGGTCTTGGATTTTTTGCGATAACTGTTACTGACTATAAACCACAGATTCGTCCGACAATGGCACGCGCGGAGCGGCGACGTCTACCTCCTCGAGATTCCAGTAGGATTGGAATCTAGAAACCAGCTTGCCGCCGCATTGGCAATACTTGCGGCATAACAGTTGAGGTGTCTGACGTGATGTCTGATTTGTGGTTCCTTTTGCGGAGCTGCCACTTTCCCACATCTTGGCCCATGCATTCATTGTCTTGCCATGCAGCGGCGGCTGGATGTCGTCGGTCTGAAGAAACGAGGCATCTCAATGTGTGCCACCAAAGGCTGCCCATCTTCTTGTTTTATTACCAACTCATCATTTGTTGGATCTTGATGTGGCTGTTATTTTACGACATCAGCATCCTCCAGCTCCTTCGTCTATCCCCTATCTGCATCGGCATGATCCAACATCTCCAGGGCCCCGAGTTCCCACGGTCCAAGCCTCAACATCAGTTTCAACTGCGTCCACAGCGGCTGTTTCCTCGCTCTCTTCTGCGCCACACGCTTTCTTTTCGGAAAGTGCTGATTCCGGGGGTATGCGAAGCGATCTCAACTATGGGTCTTCTGATTTCAAGCTGAGATAACGGACAACAGCTTCTTGATCGGTGTTTCAAATGCTTTTCTGGAGAAAGCGCGGCATATACGACCTCGCTCACCGACGACATGGGCGCTCCACCTCCCTTTTACTACCAATCTTTAAGCGACTTGTAATATCTTTGCATCTGGCCACCATCTAGTGTACTGGATGGGCTTTTTGGGATTTTTGACTTTCTTTGCAGGCGCCTGTTGCGTGGGTGTCGGATAGCATGTGGTGGACTCTCAAATTGCTCAAAGGGCCATGGTTTTGGCTTTTGACGCCTCGCGTTGGCTTTGTTTCAGAGGATTCGGGCGACAATTCCTCGGTTTTGAATCTGCGTATACCCGAAATGATGACGACGATCGGATACCACAAAAAAAAAGAGAATACACGGAAGAGATGAAAGATTTTGGGATATAAGTTTTTTTTTACAGCTATATGGGCAACCATTTACGCCAATGGCCTGGTCAGCCTCAGCAAGCTTTCTCATGGTCCGATCTGAGAAGGAAGGGTCGGTTGAGAAGGGCCGGCTGACAGGCTTTCACGACTGTTATGGTTTACGACGTCACGTCCTAGATGGTCATGACAATGTCCTTTGCTAGGCGGACTGATGAAGGACTGCGTCCTGCTAGCGAGGATATTAAAAGAAGACATACGCTGTCACTACCTAATACATGTCACCCTTCCCATACACACACCACCACCCTCGCTCTCGTTTGCCCCGTGATGGAATCTGCATTTGCCCTGTCTGTCTATTTGCCACGGTGTTGATAGTTTGGCGGAAGGACAGTGCTCATCTGACCTTGGGAGACAGAGAAAAAGTTGATCCATTTTCACTCATTGTCCTTTAATAATAGTTTATTGCCTGTACCTATATCAGTCACGGATTTCCTTGGATAATCTGAAATATCATTTTAATGCTCTAACCGTCTACTTTGACGTACAATCATGAAGGGACCGTTTGGGGAAGGCTTTGACGTTTCTTGTGTCTCTTTTGCACATACCCAATTTTTGTTGGATTACTCCCTGCCGTTTCCTTGTGTAAGGATCAAGGTCACCAGCCGCAGACGACGGTGGCGCAATCAGGAAAGAACGGGAGAAACTGGAAATCATGGACCATGCGATGTTGGTGCACCTTTCTTTATTCGATCGAGCGGCTGGGATATCCAGTGGCAGCCACGATCTTGTTTGAGCCGGGTGGTGTTTCCAACCCAAGAGTCAGTTCCAGGAACGGGAAGGAGCACAGCAGTTGCAATTAAGAGTGGGGTCTCAATGCGTGAATCCCCAATTTCCAACCTCACTCGAATTTTGAGTCACCACACACCGTACAACACTCGGTCCCATCGTCACCTAACTTGCACCATCTGTCCCTTTGTCCATCTAAACAACACCAGCCTTGGTAAACAAGTGACCCTAAAAGAGACACAAACGCACAAGACAAAATGGATACCCCATATGCAACAGAAATTTCCATCGCCATCCCAGCTATCCAACTAGCCGCCCGTATCTCCAAACACGTCCTAGCATCCGCCAACAAGGGCACCATCGAGAAAGCCGAAGATCTTTCTCCTGTCACCGTAGCCGATTTTGCCATCCAGGCCTACCTCACCAAGGTCCTCTCCTCCTCCTTCCCCGACGACAGCTTCGTAGGCGAGGAGTCCGCCGCCGCCCTGCGCGCCAACCCCGACCTGCTGCAGCGCGTGTACGACGTCATCCACGAGTGCATCGACGAGGTATCCTCGTCCAGCAGCGACGATCAGAATGAGTCGCAGATTGGAATTGCCGAGGTGGTGAAGCGAGGCGCGCCCGAGAGCAAGGAGCAAGTGTGTGAGCTCGTCGACCGATGCGGCGATGGTGGCAAGGACGGACTGAGTGCCGATTCGGGACGGACGTGGGTCTTTGACCCGATTGACGGCACCAAGACGTTTGTCCGCGGTGAACAGTACGCTATCAATGTCGCGCTGCTCGAAGGTGGGAGGCAGATTCTCAGTGTGGTGGCGTGTCCGTTGCTGAGCAGGAAGGCGACGGCACCGGTGGGCAATGCGAGCGTTTTCAAGGTGGACAATGGTGAAGATGGAGAGGAAGGATGTATCGTGTATGCGGTTCGAGGTTTTGGGGCGTACGTGAGGCCCTTGTTTGTCGGGCAGGGTTCTGGTTTGGCGGTGTGCGCTTCGGAGCCGTTGAAAAGACACGCGGATGGTGTTACTGTTTCCGGGCTGAGGTCTGTATCGTGCTGGAATTTGCTGGACTCGGGCGTGGACGACGCGCACAAGGCGGCCACGGAGAGGCTCGATGTTGATTTCCCAGGCTCTGACCTGCTTGGGTGGGTGCCGAGGTGGGTGTCGCTGGCCCTGGGTCTGGCAAACATGACTGTCTGGGTCTACAAGAGACGCGATAGATATGCGAAGATCTGGGATCATGCTGGAGCCATGCTCCTCTTCGAGGAAGTTGGTGGCATGATTACGGATGTTGATGGAAAGGAGATTGACCTGACAAAGGGGAGGAAGCTGAGTGCGAACTTTGGGTTTGTGGCCGCTCCGAGAAGCGTTCACCACGTTGCGTTGAAGGCTGTGAGACAGACCTTGAAAGACAAGGAGGAAGCACTCCTTAATGCGGCTTAAGGTTCAGAAGTTTTCCGTAATCGAAATGGAGCCTGGAACGAGGGAATGCCCACGACGGAGCGTCAGCGTACGACTGCCCACTCTTCCCACATTTCTACCTCCTCTTTTTCTCCAATTCCCAGACTAACCATGTCGGAATCACCTGATGGCCCGTGTCATAAACGGACCAATTTCATTGCTGCATTCCTAGCACTTTTTGCCATATCGTGCAAAAGACACTTGGTGCGAATCAGAAGTCCTTCCCGTTGTGGCCTTATGGGTCCATAAGCCTTAAGAGCATCTCGCGGCGTGATTATCAAACCAGCATCTGTGTATGATGATCGAAGAGTGGGCCTGAAATCCGCGATGGAAGGTTTTGACTCGATCGCCGACAGAGGAGCAGAAGCAGTTCTAGGTAGCTTCGGTAGCTTGGGTTGTTGGTCGGATGGTTTGTGGCCGAGCAATATCTGCTTGAGATCATACTTTCCAATTTCCGGAAACGTTATCGAATATCGGTCTCTCCTGAGCTGAGGACACTTGTTAGATAGGGGGGCGAGAGGAATGAACTTGGCTTGATACTTACCTGGATGGTGTATTTTGAGTGTGGAAATATCGTCTTCAACGTCTCCTTCAACTCCTGGGCGCTGACATTCCGGGAGTGTATCTTAACGACAGCGCCTTCGCCTTTTCCTCGATCCTCGAACTCGGCCTGCTTTAGAACGGCTAGTAACCTTTGGGAAATGGCCATTGTGGAGGGAGTTATGAGGAGTACGGTAGGAATAACGGAAAATTTGACTTTTCACCGCTTGACTGTCGCAACTGTATGTTGTGAGGACGCAGTAGTAGCCGAGATGAAGTGTATAACCGCGCGGTTAAGTGAACATTAAGGATGGGTGAACATTCTTTATATAAGTTTGCCCCTCGAGCTCTTCCAGGTTCTTTCAAGAAGAGATTTCATCTATCATCCCACCGCGCTCCAGTTCCCTGATCGGGCACTGATACCATGACCTAATATGCAGGCTAACCATCGAGATTGTGGGAACAAACTACACGAATCAGACCTCGTGCAGTAAAGTGTCTTCAATCCTCTTGGTTGAAAAGTAGTTCCCATGGATAGGATTTAACTGGGGATCCTGTAGTCAGGCGTCTATGGTACTTCATAGCACCACGCTATTCCTCTGTTGTGCCACGTCACTGGGGAGGTCTATTTCACGATGGGGCTAGTTCTTTCTGTCACTCCACAGATACATAAACTTACACTTGTCTCTCAATCGATCAATTCTCATTCTCCATCTCAAGGTTTAAAACTTTCCTCTCGAGGTACTCAGATGAAGGCGAAACTTCTTGGTTGAGGGGGAAGGGAACATGTGTGCGTATCGAATCTTGGCTTGTGATATAGACGGTTAAGTACATATACAAGCTGCATAGCTGTCCGTGACCGTCGTTCCCAGGCGCGTGAAAAATATGAACGCCCTCCGATACCCCGGCGGTGTAATCCTACCGCGCCGCTGTGTCCGACGCTCCTCTCTATCATTTCTGACATGAATCTATTCACTCTCTGATTCTCCTGACTCATCCAGTCCTTGACCGCTTCAACGCCTAGGGCACACATCCGGTGAGTCTTCTGACACTGACCCCTTCGAATACCGGTCCAGGCATCCTCAAAGCCACCTGATCAAAGGCAACACAGACGTTATAGCAGTTTTGCATCTACCACCAATGGCATATGATCCGAAATGTACACCTCATCCTCGAATTTGTTGGTTATGACTCCATACGTCAAGAACTGGATGTCAAGAGGATCGCGCACGAACAGGTAGTCGATCCGTTTATCATCCGAGGTCGACGATGTAAAGCCTGTGGACGTCATTGTGTTGCCGTACCAGTGTGCCTTGGGAACGAGGTTTTTAATGTCCTTGAATCCACCTGGGGCAGTCAGAGTCTTGTATCCCTCCTTGGTAGGCTCAATGTTCAAGTCGCCGCCCAGCAACACAGGTGCGGGCTTCGTCGAGTTGAAGCCTTGATCCTTCCACTCATCAGCAATCTTGATCAACTTTGCGCTCTCGTTCCGGGCAACGGTGCCAATATGGTCAAAGTGCGTGCACATGAAAACCAATGGGACTCCTGTTGTGCGATGCTTGAACTGGGCAACAGTGACGATGCGCGGCAAGGCAGCATCCCATCCGGTAGAACCAACCACGTCGGGGTCTCACTGAGCCAATACGTCTTGTTTCTCTCCAGCTGCCAGGTGTCTGTTTGGTAGAGAATGAGCGAATACTCTCCATCTTGTGCACCGTCCTTCCGGCTCACCCCAACGTGGTTCCAGGCGCTTCCAAGATCTGACTGAAGGTCGACGAGTTGCCCATTGAGTACCTCTTGCATGCAGACCAAGGCCTCCGGACGATTTCCGGTTTCAAAGTTAATCTGAGAAGCCATCAAAGGCCGCCGGACATCCCAGGGCCGGTGGACGGAGATACTGTAGCGTAGCGGATATTATACGATATCAATCGTAGGTTGGTTGAGCCACTTGCGAGGCCAATGTTGGCCAGCAACAACGGTAAAAATGTGTATGTCCTCATGACGTCAACCGGCTGCTGTGTTTGTTGTAAATGTCTTCGTGGACGATGGTAAAGAGATCGTGAGGGTATTTGATGAGTGAATTTGTATCCCCCGTCTCTCGAGTGTGATTTGGCCGTGCTTTCTCATGAGGCCACATGCAGTCTTTTGTCAACTACGACGACTAGAAGACGCGAGGGAACTTACCTACATGAAGCCAACGCTGAGATGCCTTCCACTTCGAGCATATACGACCGGCCTTCGTCGGTGCGCTGTCAAGGTCACACCGCGAGACCGAGCGCCTGCACTTGATGTCACTACGCCAACGAAGATGCGACCCCAGGATATGTCTCGTTGCTTATATCCCCGCCGTTTCGATCATCATCACCTAAGGTGAACTGATTCTTTTTCTCGCCACCATGATCGTCATGAAGTGACAATGCCGAAAGCCTCAAGACTGCAAGCCCCACGTGGTGACATTGCTCCTCATTATTCGACGATCTTAAACTTCAGGGGGGCCATATAAAGGGCTATAACATGCCTGATGGTACCACCCAAGCAAGCAGTTGGCCCTGGTATAATGTCTGTAAATGCCAATCTGCGGTCCAAAGGCTGGATATGTGAGTAACTAGTACGACATCCGGTAGCACTTGATCGGTTGGCCATGGGAAGAGTACGTCTGCGTAGGGAAGGTATCTCTAAAATTCGTGCCTGCCATCTGGCTGTAATTGTGTAAATCAAATTGATACCGCGTAGAATTAAACTGCACCCAAACTCAGAGCCTGAAAGAACCACGGCTCAACAGTTTTCTCGTAGGCCTCGGATGAAAGACTTCGTTGAGAGAAATCCGGCCCTGCCAGCGGAAAGGTCCATAAAGACGTACGCGTACAGTCGTGACAAGGGATCTGAGAGCAGCAAAAAAGTTGAAAATAGGCTGTGGCTCACTACACAGCAAACAGGGTAGGAAACGTCGAGGCAACACACTCTTAATTCACTTCTGCTTTGTCAGCGGTAGTGCAGGAGCTACGCATACATGGCAAGAGGGTGGTTGCGACAAACGGGAGGAAGGCGCGAGCCGCAAGCGGAGATTTTTGTTCGTGGTTTTTGCTTCCTCCATTTTGATACGTTGGAAGAAAGGAAGGTACGGGAGTGGCAGCAGTGTCGCCCCGTCTACACCTCATCCATCTATCATGCTAGCTTTTAGTTCTCGGATCCTTCCTCGGTATTAGGTATGGGTCTTTGACCCCAGAATGCAGAGTTTGACACACCTTCACGCCAGGCGCTCTTCAAACTATCATTGTCTATCGAAAGATGACGCTTCCCACTGTCACTGGGCTAGAGAACCGTGTGAAGAAACCTTGTGGGTACAGCTTGAGGAGTAAGCGCTAGGCAGTTGGGTGGTACCTTCCCATCAGAAACGTGCCACCGTCAACATTTGCGAATGGCGACTTCCACTCTGTTGATATCCTGATGTCAGCTTGCTGATCTTACAACTACATTTAGTATAGAAAGTCCGTTCTCGGTGGCAACCTGATGTTTCACGTCAGCAATCTCTCCGCATTCCACTAGCTCAACTGCCAGCCGGCTCGGCCATCTTCCACCCCCGGGCCCTGACAGAGCAGATGAAACCAGGCAAATGCCGGATATTCTGGCTCTAGTGCTTGCAAGGTTCATGGTGCAAGCTAGGGATTGTGACAATTGCTACCGTTTGGGTTGCAATCTTCCCTGGTAAGAGACACCACTGCGTAAGTGCTTGAAGATGTGCTTACTGAGATAGTTCGGTGTAACTCCATGACCCAATGGTTGTCCACGAGATGGGCTAAAAGTTTATCTTATTGCACAATTCAGAATCTTTCATCCAGTTGACATATAGCCTCCAGTGCTCTCCTTGTTTTGTGCGGTCTCGAGTTCATCGACATAGGGATTCCTTCCTGGGGCCTAATTCTAGAAGCACGATGGCTGCGAATCTGCTTCTCGTTGCAGCTCAGATCTCTGTTCTACGTGTCGGTCTCAGCCTACTCTGACGCCAGTTGTTTTTACCCATTCGAACCATTCCAGGACCGCCGCTCGCTTCAGTCTCCCGCTTCTGGCATCTCTACCGCATCATCAAGGGAGATCAAAATCTGCAGCTGGTCAACCTTCATGACAAGTATGGCATGTGTAACATCCAAGGTCCCGTAGAGCCTAGGTTTCCTCGAGGCTTGGGCTTGCAGATACTTTTGACGGAGTATAATTGCTGATTGTCAACCCATGCAGGTCACTTTGTCCGTATAGCCCACAATGAAGTGAGCGTCAGCCATCCGGACAGGATCAAGAATATTCTACTAGCCCCCTTGCACAAGGCAAACTGGTACAAGTTCCTCTCAATCCCTGATTACCGCTACCAGACGCCAATGTCTACAACCGATCCAAAGAAGAAGGCGGAACGATCCAGACACTTGGCAGCCGGGTATACGATGAGCAACCTTCTGCAGACCGAGGATTCCATTGACAACGTTATCGACTAGTTCTTGGCCTGGCTTGACAGGTCTGCCGAATTCAAAGAGGCTGTCCACCTTGACAAGTACTCGACATACACCGCCTTCGACATTGCCGGCGAGGTATCGTTCTCCAAACAGTTCGGTTTTCTGAAGGAGGGGCGCAATGTAGGGAACGCCATCGCCAATAGCTTGATGTTGAACGTCTATGCTTCGACCATGGGCTTCTTTCGCTGAATCCACGTATTCCTCATCGGTAACCCTATTCGTGAGATCCCTGAACATCCTGCCCTTCGGTCACCTTTTGGATACGACTGTATGCGCTTTGGACGACCGTCTCAACAATCGTGATAGAAGCAGATTCGATGTGGTTGATTACTGGCTAAAGGCCATGGAATAGAAACCCGACCAAGTATTGTTAAGGGATATCTATGCTGCTGCAACTTCAGCGGTGGGTGCTGCAAACGATACCATTTCTTGTGCTCTCCAGTCGTTCGTTTACTTCATGAATCGTCATCCGAACGCCTGGGAACGCGTTCGTAGAGAGGTTGAAGAGGCACAGCGAACACAGGGTCTCTGCCGGAACTGTGTCGTCAAGTTCGCCGATGCTCAAAAGCTTCCTTTTCTCCAAGCTTGCATCAAAGAAGCTCTCCGCGTTTTTGGCCCGGTTCCATGACGTTGCCTCGGCTCGCTCCATCGGGCGGACTGACTATCGGCAGTGAGCACTTTCCAGAAGGCACCATCCTGTCTATTAATCACTGCGTGATGCATCACTCCAAGGAACTTTGGGGTCCCGACGTGCGAGAGTTCAACCCTGATCGGTGGTTGAGGAACAACGTCCGAGAATTGGATAAATATTTCATGCCGGTAAGTGACCTTCTCGTCACCAACACACAGGGGAAGGGCATATTCCCCTCCCAGCTGACTCGTTTTTTTTTCTCGAACATACAGTGGGGATAAGGGTACAATTCTTGTCCAGGCCAGCATATTGCCCGGACAGAGTTGTCCAAGATTACGGCAACTCTGGTGAGGGATTATGAAATCACACAACTGAATAAAAACCAGGACTGGCAGTGGAAGGCGTATTTTAGAGTCGTTCCACACTCATGGCCCTGTTATATTGAGAGGCGAGTGGGCAGGAACTCAGTTATTGGTGACGCCATTTTAACGCGTCGTTCACCTCGCCCAGCTGAAAAGAGGCCATGTCAAGATGGAAAGCTTCCGCAACGGACTGAATAATTAAGGAGACTATGGTGAAAAACATGATTTCTGTCCCCCCAAGAAGTTGCACCTAGCAAGCCAGAATGTTTCTACGCAGAATCTGCTCCCTTGTTCTCGCGTTCCTGCAATGCGCTGCGCACCTTTGGAAGGACATAGCGCCCGTAGTCAATGGCATCGTTCAAATTGTCATAGCCACGAATGGAAATGAGCTCGGCTCCAAGATCAACGTAGTCGAGGATCGAATCAGAAATAGTCTGAGGGGATCCCACCAAAGCGGTCGATGCGCCGCGAGCGTTGGTAGCTGTGACGGTGGGATACCAGAGAGCACGGTCATGGACATCTCCACGTGAAGCGATTTCCAGCAACCGTTGGGAGCCCACGTTCTGCGGCGTAGGAACTGGAACATGCGGGGCCTTGCCGTCGGAGGGCTGATTTCCTCCCGAGTGCGTCTTCAAAATATCCAGGGTGCGGTATGCCTTTTGCCAGGCCAGTTCGTCTGTCTCAGCAATGATGGGCCGAAATGTAACCCAGATGCGAGGGCGGTCTGAATCGGGACGCCCAGCTTCAGCAGCTGCTTGGTAAATGCGGTCGATCTGCTCCTTGGTCTCTTTTAGAGGCTCGCCCCAAAGACCAAAGATATCGGCCAAAGCACCTCCAATGCGGTATGCCTCCTCCGAGGAGCCACCGACCGATACCGGGATGCCCGTACCATTGACGGGACGAATCTGGTTGGAGAATCGCTTGAACTGATAGAATTTGCCGTCCCAATCAAAGGGCTCCGGGGACTGCCAGGCACGACGCAAGATGCGGATGTACTCCTCAAGTCGAGCATAGCGTTGGTCTTTGGGTAGGAAGTCGCCCTCCTTGGCTTGCTCAGCATCGCTTCCGCCGGCGATAAAGTGTACAACAGCTCGACCTGAGCTGAGCTGATCAAGCGTGGCTAGTGCTTTCGCTGCGACGGTGGGATAAAGCGTGTTGGGACGCAGGGCGATGATGATCTTGAGATTCTTGGTGGCGGCGGCAATGGTAGCGCCTATGGTAAAAGGGTCATAGGACGAAGAGCCGTAGGGCACGAGGGTGTAGTTGAACTCATAATCATCGAGGTTCCGGGCATAGCGAGCGAGGTAGGCAGGATCAATGCCGGCGCCTGGGATTGGATTCAGCTCGGTGGAAGCATTGGGGAATGTCAAGCTAATGAATTCGGTAGGCATCTTTGGCGAGCACGACAATATGAGACTGGCTTTCGACTTGTTTCTGGACGTAGCAGTATGCTCGGAGGAATGGTGAGTGTTGTTCTGACGAAGCAGTTGGGCATCATGGCGGTGGTCGTAATAAAGGCACGAGGCGTGGCCGATTGGAAACCCCATCAAAGAGGAGAGAGGCCATGACGACAGCTGTTTGCGGATCACGCAATGCGGGATGGTGGTGTTCTTGATATGTAAGCAGAGCCGTGAACCGTCACCCCGACTAGAAAAGTCGAGGGCATAGACACGGTAAGGTAAGTGACCCCCATCTTACACCAAGCCCCATGGCATATCAGATAGCCAGCGTTACACTGATGGCGATGGCATCATTTTGAAGGATGAGCATCATTTATGAAAAGGGATATGAAAAAGATGGGTGCAAAACCAGTGATATTGCCGATGCTCATGGGTCGGACACAAAACAACATGAGAGTGGGATCCTGAATGCGAGGGAAGGAATGGGTTGAATCTGATGACATGTTGAAGCCATCACCAGACGAAGATTTGGGGAGGAAGTCGCAGATACTCGGCGTTTAGACAGATGGTAAGGACGTGGACCGACGAAAACCCATCCTATGCGAATGGTCACCTATCATGAGTTAGCCAAGAAATCAAGTGGAAGGAACAGGGACAGGAACTGCACCACCCAGCAGCAGCGCAAACTAAGTGCAAGCAAAGACGACCTGAGTCAAAACCTGGGGAAGGAACCATGGAGAGAACCTCAAGAGTCGGAATCAACCGGGATCGCATCTTGCGACCACCTGGGCTCAGCTCAACTTGAACTGGAAGTTGCGCATGGCCAATTCGTGAAGCAGGAACGACAGGCTTCGCATCGCCTGAGGCCTGGTCAGAATCGGCTGGGCTTGGCAATCGGGATTGGCCGCGAGGGCACCAACAACACCACCCATAGCCTCCCATCGAACCATTTGCAGCCATTTGCAGCCATTCGCAGTCTCGCTGGGCCACAATCGTCACCCCATATCGTTGCCTTCAAGAGACCACATCACGCCAACGACCGCACCATCGTACCAAAACACCATCAAGACATCGCGGACCGCACACGTCCCATTGCATGCGATGTCGCCCGTCATGTCCAAATTAAATAGCCTCTCCCCCGAATGACTCGGTCCTACTCTGTCTCTGGTTTCACCAGACCTCGACTGATCACCAGACCATCATCTGTGCCTATACCCGAGCCTTTGGAACTCAGACGTCAGCTTGTTGCACTTGCATATCAAAACAACACAATGACTGCCTTCCGCCCAAGTCCCTTCAGGCCTACTATGCCCCTGCGTATCTCTTCGCAGCCACAGACAATCTTCAAGACGCCCGCGACAAGGTAGGTGGCCATCCCGCCGTTCCATCCCGCTTGATGAATACATTCTCATGCTATGATAGATCGGCGCTGTTGCCAAGGGTCGTGCCCGGCCTGGTTGTTTTTGGTGCAGGTAAGCATAAGGAACTCCAGCACAAACCGGTCCCTCGTCGGCGCTGTCTTGCTCGTGTCCGGTCCTAATTGGAGATCCTTCGTCATGAAACAGTCTACACCGTCGTTTCCTATATCCGTTCTCAGTTGCGGAATGAATCCAATACGCTGAACCGGGTCTTCGCTCAACAAAACACACCAGGCGTCATGGAAAAGAGGAAAGAGCGGTACTTGATCGAGACCGAGGGTGATCCCCGCAAGACGATATATAATGTGTTGAACTGGTAGAGCCACGGATATCATTCGGATTGGGTTCGCGGCGTTTGGGCAGTTCGGGAGCAACGGGAACCGTGCTGGTTCACTTCTCGCGTTGGAGGCCGCGGCGTTATTTGTGTTTTTATACCAATGTTAAGATGGGAATTCGCATTGATGTTGCGCTCGATCAAAAGTCCACCAGTGTTCAACGTAGTATGTCGGATCTGTAAATGGGCCTTGCCACCTCGGCATCGACGAAGGATCACATGTACACCGCATTAACAGACACTATCTCGTTTCTGTACTCTTAGGTGCTATGATTGATTGCCTGTACGGAAAACTGTTAGCGGGCGATAAAGGTAGCCTGCATGCTTTTCGCGCCTCATTGCATACCTACACAGTAGTAGTAGGTCCCTCCCTCCTTGGTTATCCATCTCACTACATCAAGCACATGAGGACCGAGACACTGTAAAGATCGTCAAATCAGCAGGCGCAAGATGGCAAGCAGTGCTTCGGGGCAACCGACTTACCTGGTATCGCTTTTCCAGGATACGTGGGGCATTTTCTGCCCTTTTGCGCTTTTGCTTACAAGCATATGCTGATCCATGGTGCATGTCATAGGCCAAAGGAGAAGCATGCTTCTGGCTGGTCGTCTTTGTGGGATACCAACAAGAGTCACTTCTGGGATCGCGGAAGGCCTTCACCCGCTCTGCAGGACCTGCTGAACCTTCACCCTGAATTATTCTCTGAAATTGCTCATGGTCCCGGACGACAACCCAAAGCATTTGTGCCGGTAAGTAGAAGGGTTCGCTGTGTAGCCGGACCTGCTCGCTCACTGACCAGATCTAGGGTTGCGGTAGGGGCTATGACGTGGTGATGCTTGCCTTGCATGGCTACGACACCTATGGACTCGATGTTTCTGAGAAGGCTGTCGAAACTGCTAGGGAATATGCCGCCAACGAACTACGTGATCCATCTGCGTACAACTTCAAGGATGCATCTACGCTTACCTGTTCGCCTGAAAGGGCGACTTGTGGCACTGCCAACTTTTTAGTTGGCAACTTCTTTGAGCGAGAATGGGAATCTCTTCTGGCTACCAAAGATGGGCATAAATTTGACCTGATCTACGACTATACGGTGTGTTGCGGTTCCTCCTCTTCGGCCCTCGTTTCCCGCAAACTCTTTTGTTCGGTTGCTCTCAATCGTGCTGACGACACGCTAGTTCTTGTGTGCTCTCTCGTCGGATATGCGCCGAGACTGGGCTCTTCGCATGAGTGAGCTTCTAGCCCCAAACGGCATTCTCGTATGCTTGGAATTTCCGCTCTACAAAGATCCTAGACTCCCTAGACCGCCATGGGGATTGAAAGACGTTCACTGGAACTTGTTAGCGGAGGGTGGCAACGGCCTGATTGATCCATCCACCGGTACGCCAGAGGGAACAACGTCAAAAGAGGGGAGGTTTGAAAGAAAAGTATATCTCAAGCCGGAGAGGACGTTTGAAATCGGACAAGGGATGGATATGTTGAGCGTTTGGAAGCTTGGACATGAGGCCTCGTGACCGCCCGCATCAATTACAAACTACACGCCAAGGCTACACCCTTTATCTGAGCTTGGTGGACTCGCCATCCCCTAGCTACATGTCACAGCCTTGTGGCAGTTCAGAGCAGGCGATTGGCCATTGCCAGAGTCAGAGATCAGTTCATGTCACTAACCCCAGTATAAGGCTATTATAGCCTTATCACGGCCATCGCTACACAGGTTATGCCAACTCTATAGCGCTTATAAGATTACTATATAACTGATTATTCAGTTAGCCTCTGTAACGGGGACAGCACGGGTAATACGAGTGCCGGTCCTATAGTTTAATTGAGGTTCGATGATGTGACGAACGGCAGTCTGAT